TATCTATCTATCTATCTATCTATCTATCTATCTATCTATCTATCTATCTATCTATCTATCTATCAGACTACCTGTAGTCTGTTCCAAAGCCTGATTAAAATTGATGTGATACTTTGTAAACTAGAAATAATACTATAAGCTTCTATTTTCTTTTCTTTGTATGGTTTCTCTCTTTGTGGAAGGCCAGAATTTGTTAGAACTGCCAGTTACATAAGTCACTTTTGTTTTATTTTGAAACTGGTAGGTATTATTACTCGTCAAGAAGCAGAAGAACTGTTGATGCACAAGCCTGAAGGGACATTCCTCGTGCGGGTCAGTGATAAAATCTGGGGATATGCCCTCTCTTACCGGCATCACAATGGCTTCAAACATTTCTTGGTGGATGCATCAGGAGATTTCTACAGCTTCCTGGGAGTAGATCCCAACCGTCATGCGACACTCACAGATCTTATCGATTTCCATAAGGTAAGAGTCACTAGGGAAAGAAAGACCAGCCCCTGAACTGGACAAATAAATAATTCAAAAGAAAGGAAGTGTTTTCCAGTGGTACTGGTCTATCCCGGCAATCTGGTCTACCCAAGTATAAGATGGAGCATACTGCTTTTGCTTTTGCCATTCAGCCCCAATCCAGGAATCTTCGCAGGCAGTCACATTCGCGACAAACTATTTTTGTGTTGAATTTACATTGTAAATATATAAAATGTAAATTCAACTCAAAAGAAAGGAGTATTACATTAAGCATTTGATCTATGGACAGAATTCATAATTATCAACAGACTTAACTCCAGGAAGGTGCTAGATAAACTGGATCTAGCTCCAGAAAAGTCAGAAGCAGTTGTGGCCATTGCAGAAGATTGCAGCAGGACAGGCACCAGACACTCTTAAGTTGTATTTCTAAATTCAATTTGCTCTTTAAATATGAATTCCAAAAACAAGATTTGTTTGCATTCAATTGCAACACAGCATAGCAGGAAACTGACAGGAAACTATGTAGATAAGGCAGGGGTATCAAGCTCAAATCCTGGGGGCCGGATCCGGCCTGCAGGATGCTTAGATCTGGCCCACAGGACTACCCTGGAAACAGTGAAGGACCACCCCATGGTGCTTCTGCAGCAAAAATGGAGCTTGAGCAGGCTGCATGCTCCATTTTCGTTGGCAGAGGGTTGCAGGAGGCCATCCCAGTTGAAAATGGAGCTCAGGAGCCTATTTTCACTGGCAGAGTGCTCAGGCCACCACAGATGCCCCCCGACACGAGTAACATCAAGCTGGCCACACCCACCCTGGCTGTGCCCCCCCCCAGGGTCAAACACAACCCTGATGCAGCCCTCAATGAAATTGAGTTTGACACCCCTAAGATAAGATGAAGATTTTGTGTGACTGTCACCTGTGTTCTGCGTGCGTGTCTAAAATTATTCTGTCAGTTACTAAGTGAGCAACAACTTGGCTGATCTTAGATTTTAGAAGATAAGCAAGGTCAGCCTTGGTTAGAACTGAGATGGAAGACCACCTGAAAAATTCAGAATATATCAGAGATGATGGTGACAAATCACACAGCCAAGAAAACAGTATAAATGTCATCACTAGAAACTCGATTCCCTTCAAGATCATCCATACCTTTCTCCTCTTCTTTCATTTGGTCTGGTTGGGAATGTTGTGACGGGACTAGGTTAAACAGAGTTGTTTTGAAGCTCTTTAAAAATACCTCAAAATCATGCTAATATCCCCTCTACTCCCTACTTTATTCCTACTCAGTCAAGCACAGCTAATTTCACAACACAACAACATGGTTTTAAGTTTGTAGACTGAGAAGCCCTTCAAACTTACTTGAGATACCGATAGACCTGAAGACTTGTGCTAATCAATATTTTTCATCCCACTGATGACATTTATTTTGCATTTGCAGGAAGAAATAATAACAACTTCTGGTGGAGAGTTGCTTCTGGAACCTTGCAGACAGACGAAGAGCACTCCTGACTATAATTTGTTATTTGAATGACTGCTTTTATGGTCTACTCACCCCCTTCAGGACCCTAGTAGAGGTTCTGAAGAACCAAAATTATTAGCAGAAGAGCCCCTCTCTGAGAAGTAAGGTACTTATTATTGTCAGATCATCATCTGCAACCTGTACAAGCAGATGCCGTATGAAGATGATCCAAGTTTCTATCTGTATGCATTATTTATGTCATACATAATACAAAGCTGGGAGCAGCTGGACCTGGTGGTTCTATAATTGTACTCCCAAATATAGTAAATGCCCAATAAAGATCAAATCGCTTTTGATTTTTAAAATAATTTTCACTATGAACCATTACAAAATTATATGATTGATCCTATAGCAATGGTCCAAAGGCTTGTTGAAGTTTATCACCTGTTGAAAATTAGGAATGGTTCTTTGTTATTCTGATATCTTGTCTATTTTTCTGAAGACAATATAGTTAAAAATACTTACTGTCAACAAGGAAACTGCCATTGGCTACCTTAATAGTAGGAGATAAGTTGTCTACCAATTGTCCCAAGATGTCACCTACTGACTTGCAACCATGAGAGATGTCACCAGAATTTTTTAGCTGATACATTTTGAAAATGTTGGACAAATACCTACGGAGAGTCTTAGTCATTCAGATCATGGTTGTCCCAAAGGTGCTTTTTCAAAAGGCAACTGGAGTTTCTTTGTTTTTCCTTGAAGATGTTTCGCTTCTCATCCATTCTTCAGTTGAACTGAAGTCCAGTTGCCTTTTGAAAAAGCACCTTTGATAATCTGAATGACTCTCCATAGGTATTTGTCCAAAAATTGCAAAATGTATCAGCTAAAAAATTCTGGAGACACCTGTTACAGTTGCTAGTCAGTAGGTGAGGTTGTGACTTCTGAAATGACATTTCATGATACATCCCTTCACTCAGCCTCTCTAGTTTGTGGGAGAATGGTTGAAATTCTCCATAATGAAGGAATGGACAGTGAAGATGATGGAATTTGTTGAGAAAGCCATCATTTTTTTCATCTGTCTTCTTTGATGAAATAAAACATATCTACATTTATTGCTGACCTGAAACCCCTTATAGAATTTTTGCCGGGGGGGGGGGGGAGGAATTATGATTGAGGTTTTGATGATTAGAAAAGATAGATTATAGAAAGAAGAGACTCATGTGGTAAATTTAGAGGTAATTGTATAATTGTACTTACAACTGCTGTAAAGAAGACTGGAAGTTACTTTTATTTATTATTTTTCTTTCTTATCTATTTTTCTTTTACCATTTTTCATTTCTTGCACTTTTTAGCTTTCTCTTTTATTTCTTTTCTTTATATTGCTTTATGTCTTTTTGTATTCATTTTTAGCTTCTTTTAAAAATTCTTTAATAAATACTATATATGAATATCTATCTATATATGAAATGAAGTTGGGTGTCTTCCTTTTGCTGTGAATGTCAGGCGTCAGTGCAAGAACCATTAAAATGTTCTCTGCTGGTCTCATTCTGAGTGGATTTTAAATTCCTCGGAGATTCATCCACATTGGAAGGAAGGACGACTTTCCTTGACATGAGACCCTTGAGTCGTTTTTCTCTTGCTTCACTGAATTCTTTTTGTCACTGAATTTTGAGATGTAACATCTGTCACTGGGAGACTGAAAAACATCTTTTAACGCAAAAGTTATCTACACCCAACTGTACTAAAGTTGGAGTATGCCCTGCTTGTTTTCCAATGGCAAAGAAACTTTATGTTTATGAAAGTGAGTTTATTTTCAAAATTTTGGGTGAAAGTATACCCTCAAATTCCATTAATACCCTTTCAATATCTAATACCTTAAAAGTCACATATATAGACACAATTCCATTAAGCAAGCAACAAAAACTTTCAGAGTAAACAAACCAAATGGTTTAAAATGTAAAAAAAGAATATTAACAAAACGGTAAATTGTTGGAATTATTTTGAAATTGTTGTTAGTTGCGAATATGTGTCCGACCCATTGCAACCCCATGCACAATGTTCCTCCAGGCCTCCCTGCCTCTACTATCCTCTCGAGTCCATTTAAGCTCATGCCGATTGTTTCAGTGACTCCATCCAGCCACCTCATTCTCTGTCATCCCCTTCTTCTTTTGACCTCAATCATTCTCAGCATGAGGCACTTTTCCAGTGAGTCCTCCCTTCTCATTAGGTGGCCAAAGTATT